AGACCACAATTTGTTAAGATAATCCCTTAATCCTCTAATCCCTATTAGAATAGTACGAGGGCAATAGCGCGGTGATTACTCACATGAATGGTCCACTTCCCGTGCCAGCCCTTGGGTGAAAAGGTGTCGGAAATGCTGCGACTCGTCGTTGAACCTGGAAATCGTCGGCGTTACCAAAAAAACCACTTCGTTCACTCGTGAAATTTTCTAAACGCATTCCAATCAGCGATGGCGTTGGGTGTGCAAGTATGAATTTGCATGTGTTGATGTTGGTCGCTAAATATCAGTGCTTCGTCTTAATCAGCCCTTGACTCACTTCCGCTGGCGGTGGGCGCAGTTATTGCAGTTACCCGTTCGGTAAGATACGAGTTGTGCGATGGAGGGAGTAACTCGTGTAGCGCTCGCGCCTTGGTATCCGCGTTTTTGCGGCTCGGAAGACGTGTTGAATGAGGTTAGCATCGACAGTTGACTGCTTCCCATCTGATTATCCGCAAATTTCATCGCCGCGGATTCGGTTGGGTCTACCTAACTAGACTTTTTCTGCTGTTTTCCTTGAATGCAGGATGGTGACGCTCTGCACTAGATTGCCCAGCTCCAAGGTAATTTTTGCACAACCGAGCCGGCTATTCACCGGAAGTCAAGCGAAGTAAGCACTTAGCGTACCGGAAGATACTTCCGAGAGGTGGCAGCCGCCAGTTACCTTCCGTGGCAGCGGTGAGCGCACTTTTAACTTTCAAGCTTCTATTTCACGACTCATACTGACTCATCCCGATGTTAGCGTATCACCCCGAGACGCGGCCGCAGCGAGCTTTTGCATTTGGTGATGGTGTTAGCCCTCTGCAGTAGGCAACCGGTTGAATGACGGGTATCTTGTCTGCCGCGCTGCGCATCTTGAAGCTGCTTGATCTCTTCAACGAAGCTACCATATATTACCAGTTACTCCACATGACTATTCGTAAGGGCCGGTCTAGGTAGCTTTTGCCTGCTGTGGGGTGGTGGTGGCTGATGCTAGAACGCAATAGCTTCTTTGTCTCACACTCCAATCAGTCCCATGTCATCTCTACCCGACACCGACACATACCGCACTGGCCGCGGTTATCTGCTCAAGGCATCGGTATGGGTGGAATCTTTACTGCTCAGAAAGAATGCTTGGTGAAAAGTCATAAAACGATATATGCAAAG